AGGCAGGAAACCCTATACCATTTCAGACAAATGGCTGTTCAGTCTCTTCTTAAAAACTTCCAGTGTTGGTGCATTCACTGCTTCTGGAGACAGGTTGTTCCACTGTTTAATTGTTCTCACTGTCAGGAAGTTTCTCCTTAGTTCTAGGTTGCTTTTCAGAAGGGTGGAAGTACAAGACAGTGGTGTAAATTTTTGCTTGAGAAGGCCTACAGGTCCTCTTCCTTTGTAAGGATAGATTTGGGCCAAGAAAAAAAGGAAAAAATGGATTGCTGGGGGAAGGGGGAAAAAAATCACATATTTCCTGAGGTTATGCTTTAGCTTATTTCTGAAACTCCTTCCTTGCTTTCAAGGAATTTGAAAGTTTCTTCCTATGAATATTCATCATCTATCCCTAGGTATTCCTTAACCTATATATAGCATTCAGTCCATCATGAAAGTATCGGGTTAAATTTCCTTAAAACACCTTCCCCCCCCTTCTGCTTTCTGTTAGAAAATAGCGTACTGCTTCACGCCTGACAATGAGCAGCATCTAGTAGCTCAAGGAAATGTGAGACAGTTTAAGGTATGTATTCTTGGCTTCTCAGTTCCTCAGCATGTAAATCTTTTATTGATTGATTCTTCTCGTTAAGAAAATGTGTTTGACTGCCCAAGTCACTCACTAGGACTCCGGGGGGGGGGGGGCTTACAGAAATAAAACCCCAATAAAAAGCCCAATGAATCCTTATCTCCTTGGGACAACAGTCAACTCAACCGTTTGATGGGACTCCATCCCACTCTGGTGTCCCCAGCCCACTAGCAAAACCATGTCTTCAGGGCCTTGCGAAAAGAGCGTAAAGTGGGGAACAATCTTATCTCTGCAGGGATGACGTTCCACAGGGAGGAAGCCATTATGGAGAAGGCTTCCCTTCTTCTTGGTCCCACTTCACCTTAAGAGAAGGTTCTCCTAACATTCCCTGCCTCCCGGTTCTGGTGGGTTGGATGGATAGAACTGGGAAAAGAGGGTCCTTTTGACTTTCGGCCGTGTCAATGTATATGTGCAATGTGAAGATTGTGAGTCCTTCCACAACCCCAGTTTAGATTGTGTATTTGGAGATAGCAATCCAACTGTAATGCTTACTGGGACAGAAGGGGAATGTTGTTCTGAAACTTAAATTCCAATGGAACTGATTTTAATTTTGGACTTGGCTTCAGCTGTGACTCTTGAGGGTCCAGTCTCCGAAGCCCTGTTCAGACCACTTTGTCCTTACAAAGTTGTGTTTCCTTGCCGTTGAGGATGCAGCAAGGGTTTAATTTAAGGTGGCTTGTACATCTGCATTGCAAATATTTGTGGGTACCTTTTTTTCTGAGAAACTTGAACACCCAGAACTAAAGAGATCTGAAGATCACAAGACATTTATAAGCTAAGGAGGACAAGAAAATCCTGCTGCTGATGTTTCCTAGTTTGGAATTGAAACGTTCAGAAACTAAATTGAAACAAGCTTGGAGAGCAAACAGCTGCCAAAATCTAAAACTCGAGCTACAAGTATTTTCTATGATTTCAAAAATCTGAAGTTCTCTGCTTTCTCCAGATTTCAGTCAACAAAGGTAAAGATAGTTCCATCAACTCACATATTTGCTGCTCAACTGTATCGAACAAGGCTGGTACGCTACATCTTGGTATAAAATAAATGAACTAATTAAATGTATTTATTGTAAAATCCCAGAAGCATTAGCAACCATGTTGTTCAGCTAAATTCTGTTGTTTTTTTTTTCCTGTTTCACTTTGCAGCTTCAACACTGGATTTCCATATGATAACTGTGAATTTGACAGGAAAAGTCCATATGTTGTAAAACACAGTTGGGAATACCTGAGAAATCAGTGACTGAACTCTGGGTCATCCTTGTTTGTTAACTGACTGGCTAGCAGGATGATTCAGATTATTAATTCCAAATTTCTACCCGCGAAGATTCATCTTCCACTCAAACACTTAATAATTCATGCTTTTTTTCCCCCAGATGAACTTTCTTGATAGGTTGATTTTTTTTATTATTTTTTTTCATTTAACGATAATGAAAAATGCAACAATTAATTTTCAACAAGCTAAATGTGCTCCTGGTCAAAAAAAGGGGACAATGCTTGCTAATGCCAGCAGCAAAGACTGGAGATGTCTACTTTTGCTCAGAGGCCATTTTACTGGAAGCAGAGAGAGAGAGAGACAGAAACAGAGAGACAGAGAGAGAGAAACAACATCAAGAAGATATTTGAAATTTTCAAAAGAAAAGAAATGGATGTGTTTCTTTAGTCAAGGGGGAAAATAACAGGAAATACTGCTGGATAAGGAGGTTCACCCAGACATGGTCACCAACTGATTATGCACCCATCAAGCTGGCGGGTCAATCTTGGACAATTCTGGTTTGGTGGAGAAATCCTGAGTCAGATTTCTAATGAAAAAACTTTCCCACGTGCTTCAAAGTCTCTGGGTCAAGGGAACACCTTGCACTGTTGTAAGAAGGTTCCCAACCGTCAAATAACTTTTCGTCATCAAGACATTTCTTCTGTTGTTCAAGCAGACCGGGCAAACTTCTTGCGTAGATTTATTGCGTAGATTAGGCAACTTTATTCAGATACCAAACACAATGCTTTCCTTAACAAAAGCCTACATGGACATTCAAATTTCAAACTCTTGCCAATTGCAATGGCTGAGTGATTGCTTGATTGATTGATTGATTGAATGAATGAATGAATGAATGAATGAATAGCTTCAGAGCAGCCTCATCTTCTAGCTATATTTTGTTCATTATTTGTGCCAAATAAAGAATCTACAAAATGAATTCTTTTTTTTTTAAATAGACACACTGATCAGTCTGGTACCATAACCGTATTTTAGTAATTAGCTATAGTAGTATAGCTAAGTTCTAATTAACTTTCAAAGGAGCTGGGAAGAGTAATGTTAAAAATTTAGCAAATTTCAGTGGCTGTTAATTGGAGAAAGAGTAAATCCAAACCACAGGGTTTTTTTTTTAAGTTTTATGACAAGGATTTTCTACACTAGCATGCATCTTTCAGAGATAGATGCTGCTACTATCAAAAACTACCCCAAAAGCTAATAGCTAGAAGCTGGGTGTTGACGAAATGGTTAACAGAAATCCACTCTATCTCAGTTGACATTTTTCAAGGTTGCCTTACAAAGAAAACTTCACCATTTGTGTTTCTTTGGTTTCCTTTTCCTTGATTTGTAATGCCTTTTTTTTAATAACCAAAGGGTAAGTAGGGTACGTCTGTGTATAATAATCTTTTCAAAGTCTGTTTTCTGTTTTCTTTTTCATAAAATGTGGGTGGGTGGGGGGCTGAGTGGGTGGATGGGGAAAATGTAGATTGTAAAACAAACAAACGAAAAATATGTTCCGATAAAAAAATAGAAAATAAAATAAAATCTGTCCCTCCTTTCTAAATTGAATCCTGTCAGGGTGAATTTAGTTTGGAGCGATGGGCTGTCTTTTGATTCTTGGTGTAGTGTAATAAAAGGAGAATAACCTGTTTGTATTGACAGCACTGTGCAATGTTTTCCAAAGCTGCCTTAACCAGATAGATAGTCTTTGTGTGGGTGTGTGCTATAATCTCAAGATGCCCCAAAAGTATTTTTCCGTGTAAGTTTATTGTCGAAAAACTGTTCATAGTCCTAAAATGGGTGGAGAGAATTCAAGTGCCATGCTGATCTAGTTTTCCACCGCGTGCACAAAACACACACCAGGCTGTGATTCTCTATGAACTAAACCGCAGGAGCCCAATCTTTATCTGTCAAATTGATATATGGCATGTATCAAATTCTTTATTTTAAGAAGAAGAAAACTGTAGATTTTCACCTTGGTGAGGTGGATGAGATTTGGAAGTAGATTCATTGGGAAAAAAAGACAGCCACTAATACGAGAGGTGGAAATCAGGGTAAATGGGTAGAGGAGAGTTTGCAGAAACGGAGATTTTTCTTGCAATAGCCTCTGATTTCTTTTCAAATAAACCTAAATTCAATTTGGAGGTGAGTAAGAGCTCACACACCACTAAAAATGCAATCTGAGCATGGCTTAACCACATATCTCCAATTCACACTTTCTTCTACTGACTTTGGTTTTCTGCAGATGGCTCAACAGCACTTCCCTTTTATAAATCCATCCCAATTCATATTTTGGGGTGTCTGAAACAGCATTTTATTATTTCACACTATTACCACCACAGTCTCTCCCTTCATGATGTGGAAACTTTCTTTCCAAAGTATATAACCAGAAATAGCTTCTTTTCTTTCTCATTTATGGACATTAAGTGTGATGCTTGCACCGGTTGACTATATCCAGAATGTTTGGTCATGTTTTTGAGTATCAAAATATTTGTCTTCCTCTCCCCCCCATGTCCCCTTGTCCTGTGAATCCTTGAAGATAAATGGGTTATGTCTGGTTTTGTTTTCAAGCTGTGCACTGCAAATACTGTGCTCCAAAGTCTTATTTAAGTTCACCTAGAAATATGCACTATGAAGAAATATATATATAAAAATAATTAAGAATAATAAAGAATATCTTCTGTATCAATAAACTCTGCAAGTTGTCCTTTTCTAAACAGCAATTGATGTTCCTGTGTGTCTAGGTGAGAGCGAATTGTCACACTCGGGGCTAAAACAATGATTGATTTGTTATGAGCAGAATAAGAGCTGGTCTCAAGGCAGACCCTTTCTATTCTTTCCCATATGGTTCTTTGTTTTCCTTCTTTCCACATCAGTTCCTAAAACTGCAATCCTTTCCCCTTCCTCTCATTTGAAAACAAGGAAGGAAGGAAGGAAGGAAGGAAGGAAGGAAGGAAGGAAGGAAGGAAGGAAGGAGAGGGAGGGAGGGAGGAAGTGAAGAAGGAAAGAAGGAAGGAAGGAGAGTAAGGGAGGGAGGGAGGCAGGTATGTAAGGAAGGAAGGAATGAAGGAAGGAGACAGAGGGAGGAAGGAAGGGAGGGAGGGAAGAAGGAAAGAAGGAAGGAGTGTAAAGGAATGAGGGAGGAAGGTATGTAAGGAAGGGAGGAAGGGAGGGAGGAAGGAGAGGGAGGGAGGGAGAGAGGAAGTGAAGAAAGAAAGAAGGAGGGAAGGAGAGTAAGGGAGGGAGGGAGGCAGGTATGTAAGGAAGAAAGAGGGAGGAAGGAATGAACGAAGGAGACAGAGGGAGGAAGGAAGGGAGGGAAGAAGCAAAGAAGGAAGGAAGGAAGGAAGGAAGGAAGGAAGGAAGGAAGGAAGGAAGGAAGGAAGGAAGGAAGGAAGGAAGGAAGGAAGGAGGATTATATAGGACTTTGGGATTGATTAGGAGAAGACTGTTGAATGTGAATATTGTACCTGTTAATTCATTGCAAAGACTTCTCACCATTCTCACAACTTTCACCATTCTCTATCGTATCTAGATGACAGCCATGCTTATCAATGTTGGGCAAAAACTTTGCTTGCAATTTCTTAGCTTTTTAACCTTATTTCCAGAAAAGATGTTTTTTTTTGTTTCCTTGACGCTCTTCTTTCCATCACACCTGCAGCCTTCTTAGCTCTCCATTTTCCTCCTAGGGTGGGGGGAGGGACAAATAACCACAGGAGTGTTTTCTTTCAATATTTTTTCTTCCCTGGGGTGATGTGGAAGCTAGAGAGGCTGCAGGCCCACCCGAGAGATAAAGACAAGACTGGCCATTCACACAATCCTTCACCATCCCACAGCTAAATGTGTTTTCGCAGTAGTTCCCATTGCCTTTAAAAAAACAATAGCTAACAACCAATCGTCTTTCGTCAAATTGAATGACAATGGGTGGAAAGAATTCAGAAGGGGAAAAAAATTACATTTGGCACTAATTTTAACAAAGCTGGTTAAAGACAGTACAAGGCATTCTTAATCTCTCTTGAACAAATGGCTGCAGAATATTGTACTATGGATGCTGAAAGAGTTGGGGGACGTAACCAGGACACACAGAAGAGAGAAGAAGAAAAATTGTAGCTACAAATAACGGCGACTATCAATAGCATGGTCATCCTAAACATTTCATTGTGTCAATAGTGACCTCAAAAGGACTTGTTCCAAGCCCAGACAGACAAACCTGTCCATCTGTTTCTTACAAATATTGGAAAACATCAGCTGATGTGCAGATTCGTACATTGAATGTGATCAGTAGAAGATAGAATATTCGTTATTGGCCAAGTATGATTGGACATATAAGGAATTTGTCTCTGGTGCAGAAGCTCTCCATGTACAGGCAAACAACAAAATAATAAATCATAAAATACAATCATAAGTCATACAAACAGCTAAGTGATCATAAGAGAAGGTAATAGGAAAGATGAGAAGGATCATTAGCCGTGAATAGTAATTGTTGTTGCAAACCATACTTAAATTCCAGTTCCCTGTATCACAAGAATACAATAGGTAGTTTCCTAATTCTCCAAATTTAGAATGAACAGGTTTGATTCAGGCCATTCCGTTGAAATGCTCTAATTCCTTCCCTGGTGTTCTTTTCCTGGGGTGTGATTAATGACATAAAGCGGAGACGCGCCATTTTGATTTATGATCCAATGTTTTGGGGGAATATGAGGTTAAAATTTCATTCAAATGGAGCTCTTTGGTTACTTGATGGATGCCTGCCTCCAGGGTTTCTTGGATGTATTGGCCACTGCCTTTTCCTGGTGCGTTTTCCAGCTACTCATGTTATAAATGCATTCAGTAAATAAAGAGATTCGAACTTGACTGACAATGAACATTTAAACTGTTCACAGTGCTACTTTGAATGATTCAGTTAGTAATTTGCCTTTTCTATTCTGACCCATTAGTTAGCTTAAAGGCCTTGGCTGTTTATGCCGCTTCCAAGATTTACTGTTTTCAGCCATTGGCTGGCCAAGCCAATAAGCAACCCCTGCTTGATTTAGTAGGACTATTCTTATGTTCTTCTGTTGTAGATTCATTAACAACTCCTTAAGACAGTGGTTCTCAACCTTTTTAATGCTGTGACCCCCCAACCGGTCATAAGTCGAGGACTACTCAACCGGTCGTAAGTCGAGGACTACTCAACTGGTGCAGCACCGTTTGCAGAATGGGACTTTTGGCGGGCTCAGCAGGGCAGAGACAGCCTGGACAATTCCTATTGGCTTTTGAAAGCAATAGAATTAGACTCTATTCAAGAGAGTCTATTCTATTGGCTTTCAAAAACCAATAGAATAAAAGGGAGTAGCACAGCTAAGGAACAGGGGGAAAAAATGGCGGACTGCGTTGTTTGGCGACCCCCGTGAAATGGTCATTCGACCCCAAATGGGGTCCCAACCCACAGGTTGAGAACCACTGCCTTAAGATGAGGCAAATCCTGTCCTAATGTAATATATGATCCGGGAAGAAGTTCTCTTCCTTGTTGTATTGAAACTTCTCAGATTAGCTACATTTGAAATTACTTCTCCTTCTAGAACTAGAAATAGCACTTAGACTTATATATCTCTGCATAGTGCTTTACAGCCCTCTCTAAGCAGTTTACAGA